TGCTTTGCTGGCTGGGGAATCCTGGGAGTTGAAGTCCACACCTCTAAAAGTTGCCAAGGTTGAGAAACACTGGTATAAGTCGTATTGTGTAATGAACTTGAACCATTGTGTGTTTAACTTGAATCGCTGTGTATTTAACTCGAATTTTGCTACAATAGGTTCCGTTCTTAACTATGGGTCATCCTTAAACCGGGCTTTCTTAATCTGGGACTACCTGTACTTGGTTTCCATCTGCCACTTCCATGTGTAACAGAACATTGGAATGGGACCAGACACACTCATGCACTAGTGCAATGGGGTGAAGCCACATGCACCATTGTGCAAATAAACTGTTTGGACGTGCAACAATTGCACAATGATGTCATGATAGCCATTGGTGTCAGGTATCCGTGGTTCAAACGGTCTCTTGATGGAAAAGCAGAACAGATGCCTGGGAAATTCCCTTCAGATTGAACTCCAGGCCTCCCTCGGCCTGATGCGGAACTTGCCAACTCACGTGGCGTTTTCTTGCCAAGCTTCAGACTTATGAAATAAAACTTCTGTTTTTTTCCTCAGATGAGTTAGGCAATCTGGGCGTGGTTTTGTTCCATTTTGTTTCTCGGTGCAACCGGTGATTCTTTTCTAAGAACTTGCAAACGACTCAGAAAAAGAACGTAGACTCGAAGGATATTTTTTTAAAGTTGGACACTGAAAAATAAAACTGATGGAAACAATAGGGAAGTAAAGGTCTCTATTTTTGCGCAGAGAGAAACGATGCAAGCTCTTATGTAGTGTCACTGGTACATTTGTGTATAGAGTTTTGTGTGTTTAAGTTTTACCTGGAAAATTACCCAGAACTCTTCTTAAGCAGCTGTTGGCTTGAAAAGATCAGCTTGCAATGAGTGGATTATCGCCAGTGTCGGTTATTTCTCTGGGAGCAATTTTATTGTTTTCCTTTTCATTCATCCGTAACTAAGGATCAGTTGGAGCACATGCGCCCCTCCAAGAGTGTAGAATAAGCTTGAGGTGCAACGCCCTGGACCTTTCAAAACAGATTTTCAGGCCATGGAAATAAGTCCAGGTTGGTTTGAAAAGCACAGGAGTAGCAATCAGTAAAAAAGTTGGCAATCCTCGGAAGGGATTCAACACCGTCGAGAAGACGGCGTTCGCTCACACCGTCACGGCCACCATCTTGATTTTTTTGACCCCTCTGCGGATACTCCTGCAGGCTTTGCAAGTTCCATGAGTGGCTCCCCCAGGAGGGGCTGGGACTCCCGGAGGGCTGCTACCTGTCTGTGTCGGTAACATTGGTCTCAAGGGGCCCCAGTTCTCATTGCTTTGTTCTCCATGTAGATTTGAAGTCTTGCAACTTGAATATGAGTCGGGGCTGCGCCCAGCTGCAAAAAATGCGGTTCTGGGCTGAATCGATGGAAGCAGGGTTCGAAATCTGGGGAAGTCGGAGCTCTGGTTGCTTCTGGCTTGTGCAGCGCCTGCCCCAAGGCCTGCTCCAGTTTGGGGTGCCAACTTTTAAGAAGGATTCAGAGAATCTGGAACAGGTTAGGAGGAGAGCAGTGAAACCAAACGGGGGATTAGACCTAAGACCTCTGAAGAGGCATGGAAGGAGCTGGGCGGGTTTAGCCTTGAGCAAAGAACAGGAGAACAAGAGAGCACCTTTTGTATACCTGGAAAGGCGTCCAGACAAAGTCACGATCTGTTTTCTCTTGTTTCAGAGCGCAGGACTCGGGAACACAGACTGACGTTACAAGCAGGCGAATCCTGGATCGATGTCAGGAAACGCTTCAAGTCAACCGTGGAACTGGTTACCCAGAGAGAGGTGGGCTTCGTTTCGCTGGAGGCTCCTTTCCTGAAGATACTTTCATCTGGATCCCTGCCCCGAGCAGAAAGGTGGACTCCGGGGCCTAAATTGCATTTTTCGATCTCGGGGTTGGCGACCCCGTGGAGTTGGTGCCGAAATTCCTTGGGGCTGAGGAGGCCTGTTGCTCGTGAGGAGGGGGTGGGGGTTGGAGCAATCCTACTCAGCCCCAAAGATCCTTGTTCTTTTTGCTTCAGGAGTTGGGGCTGCTGAAGCTCATGGAGGAGGCAACGAGGAAAGGTGAGGCTGCAGGCGAATGAGCTGGGTGTCCAATGGGGTGGGATGGGGTGGGGAGCCGTGCGAAGGAAACCGAAATGGCCAGCGGGGACTCTGTTTTTGGGCTCTCCTGGCTGAAATGGAGCAGAAATGAGGTCTCTCTACGGGTGTTTCTTCCCACTGTTGAATAAAAGGCGTGCTTGTTCTAAACGGGCCCAAACATAGGTTTTTTTTCCTTTGTGCCTCCGAGTCAGTCTTGACTCCTGGCGACTGCCTGGACAAGTCCCTGCAGTTTTTTTGGCAAGGTTTTTCGGAAGAGGTTTGCCTTTGCCTCCTTCCTAGGGCTGAGACGGAATGACTGGCCCAAGGCCACCCAGCTGGCTTTGTGCCCAAGGTGGGACTAGAACTCCCCGTCTCCCGGTTTCTAGTCCAGTGCCCTTAACCACTACACCAAACTGGCTCTCCCTCTTAAATTGAATCTTAACAAAAATGCACCATGCTGTTGGGGACTAAAGAAGAACTGGATTTGCTTTTGGTTCTTGCCCTGGCATGGCAGCACCTCGCTGATCTTGGGTGAGCTCAGAGGCTGAGCAGGATTAGTCCCAGGTAGTCTTTGGATGGGAGACCACCAGAAGAACCCAAGGCTATAAACTGGGAGCTCAGAAACCCCCCAGGAAGAAGGCAGTGTCAAATTGCTTCTGTTTTATTGACAAGACAGCAACTTGGGTCTCTCTGTTAAGTCCCCAGGAGTCAAAACTGATTCGAAGGAGATTTAGCCTCTTAAAAAAGAAAAGGCTGCTTCAGAGCAGCTTTTGAAATGGCTGTTGGCAGCGTAACAATATTGTTCTTAATATTATGTGAATAGGGCACTTGAGGCAGGTAAGGTATCTTGGAAGTTCGTAGAGTGTTCTACCCGTATTCAAAAACACGTGAAGATGGTTGGGGACCACTGAATTCACCTCTGCTTCTCAGCCAGTGTTGCTCCCTTGTCATTTTCGGTTGCTGGGCTGGACTCAAAAGGACTTTTCTGTACCACCACCTGGGACGGGGGGGGGGGGGGGGGGGGGGG